CATCATACACCACTCATCATACACCACTCATCATACACCACTCATCAATACATCACTCATCATACACCACTCATCATGCACCACTCATCATACACCACTCATCATACACCACTCATCATACACCACTCATCATACACCACTCATCAATACAGCATTCATCATACACCACTCATCATACACCACTCATCATACACCACTCATCATACGCCACTCATGCATACACCACTCATCATACACCACTCATCATGCACCACTCATCACACACCACTCATCATACACCACTGGCGCAGCGTTTTGTGAACCTCCATGTGCAGAGTTCGTGGCAGGCACAGCACTTTGTGAACCTCCACGTGCAGAGTTCGTGGCACACGCAGCACATGTGCAGATTTCGTGGCAGTCACAGCACTTTGTGAACCTCCATGTGCAGATTTCGTGGCAGGCGCAGCACTTTGTGAACCTCCATGCTTCTCCGAACATCGAGGGGGAAGCTCCGCGGAACGACGGGCCCTAGACGGTCTCGGGTCATGCTCGGATCATGTTTTTTGCACGGGTACGGACGCCATGTGCGGTGTGCACAGGTCATCATTTTAGAAGTGGAAACGCTGAGATTGAGGCCTAGAGGCAACCAAACACGCACAGGACAAAACCCAGCACCAAAAACAAAAACCCTGGTTAGCAGTGCATTGCAAGCTTGGTACGGACCAGCCTGTCCGAAAGCGCAGGCCCCCAGCGTGTTCAAGAGGCTCTCCAACTCCAGCTTGAAAAGTGGAGTGTCTGTTCAACAAGCAGTGACTGAGGGAGTGTTTGTTTTTTGCACGGGTCGAGGCGCTATGTGTGCAGAGGATGCACAAGTCACCTTAAGCTAGTAAAGAGAGAGTTACGAACCATGAGGCCAAACACCACCGACCAGGAAACACACAAACAAACAAACAAAAAACACAAACCCACAAACCAAAACCCCAAAACAAAGGCCAGGTTTCGTAACTCGAGTCGGCTATGTCAGCCTATCGAGAAAGGTGAGACATGGGGCTATGAATTCAGCCTTTGCACTCAGTACGTCACCATTACGTCATTTAGCCATTTTCCCATGAGACGGCAGCACCAGCATAGTTGCAGCAGTCAAAGTTCTTTGAGTCCTTCGCGCGAGGACCTCTGCCAGCAATGGGCCATGCTACAAATGGGCTATTCTGGTTCGAGCACAGTAGTGTGCCGTGTTGCAAGGGCTGCAGTAGCACGAGTGTTTGAGCGGTGTTTGAGCGGCCGCTCATACATGGGCAAATGAACCACACAAGGCCAACATCATAAGGGTAGTAGAGGCAAAATTGTCGGACTGGACATCTAGGCACATGAGGCTCAAGGAAGACCACTATGTCAGCTGACGAGGACTTCAAATCAACGCCAGCATGAGACAGCGGAGCCAAAACATGCAGCGCAGAAGCTTTGCTTGCAAAATAAGAAGCTGACCATGACCCGTCCAACCCCGAACCAAAACCTTCATCCCCCTCCATTTTACAACTGCTTAAACTTATTTGGCTTTCTGATCCTGGTTCACCGGCCACTGGAGTTGAGGAACGACAAGTACAGTGAGAGGGTGTTCAAGTACTTTGTCGACTACTCGGACAAAGAGTCGAAGAAAAAGGTCTACACTGAGAGCCAACAGCATACTTCGACTGAGGAGAAGGCACTCATGTACATGCATTAAGAGTGTTGGCTACGTTGCATGGTGAATTCGTGGTATGTAATTTTGTGGAAACTAGTCGGTCGAGGCTAGATGTCAAGGTGACTATATACTCACTGCAAACAACACAGGGGTAGATTCCCATGCAATATGCAGGCTGAGGGGCCCACGCTTACTGACAAGTGGATGACACCGGTGGAGCCTCCCGCAAGTGTGGCGGAGTCTCCAACCCGCCACAAAGCCCAATCGCCAGAAGAAGGGGCACTTCAGCTCGCTTTAAATAGGTGTGCGCATGGAATGGTCTCATGTATATAGATGTGTGTGTGTATGTTCTACGTGGTTCTTGAAACGTTGTTGCCAACGTTTGCACAGGAAATGGATGCAGTACATGCATGGGATGTAGTTCACATGAATGGGTTATATGCACTTCTGCCCTGTGTGAACTGACCATCTTACTTCACTGACCCGTCGGCCATCTTAGGAAATGGAGGTGGAACAGAAGTTCGACCAGGGCATGCTGACCAAGATGAGCAAGATTACGGACTTGATGAGCAAACTCGAGGGGCTGCAGTCTACAGAAGGCTGCAATGTGGATGACCAGACACGGTGCAAGAAATTCCTAGTCTTATGATATCCCAAGGTTTGTGCCAGGATGCAGGTATATCTATATAATATATATGCGTATACAAGCAGTTCCCGGGCAAGCCGGCGGCGGAAGTTTCCTATAAGAACACATTGACCTATAGGAGTGTCCACGTTCTCTCCACCATGCGTGTCCCTCGTGTCACTCACTGAGCCAAACGCATGCGCTCCGGACTGTTGACACACACACACACAGCGCCACCTGTGCAATGTCTGTGCTCCCAGCAGGATCAGCGCACTGGGTTGTGTCTATGCCAAAGCAAGATCACCAGCCCACAGCGGCGTGCTGAAGCAACT